GTGTGTGTGTATTATCGTCGTAAAAAACATAAATTAAGGAAATAATGTTAATGATAATTAACCAATAAAAATATTTCCAATAAAATTAGAATGTATACGAGTATACGACATAGACTAGGAAATAATGTGAATGTCAATTTTTTTCATGTAATGATACATTTAAAAATATTTTATATAGATTACGATGATAATTGAGACCTTTTTCAGTCATAATTGGTATAATTTTTTAAAAAATCTGCTTGTTGAATTAGAAATTGACCTATGCTGTAAAATCGATTTATTTAATCAGTACTAGTAACAAAATTCTTTAGGATATATAAAATATCGATGATCACACAGTATTAAGTAAATTATAGCCTTTCATCGGATAAATTGCAATAACGGACAACTTATGTGTTATAATATTATTTGTAGATATCTACGCACGTTTACTAATACATTGTAAAACATATTAACATAATATAGTATTTATATAATATAATATAGTTGATCGATTTTCAACCTAATTTACAGAGTTTGTTAAAAAAAATTATCAATATTGTCTATCAGTAGACATTGAAGTAATTTCCTAACCACAGTTGTAAATTTATTAAAAAAATATTTGATTTTTATAACATTGTCTGTTATTGTCTGTCACTTAATTCTTAGGCATTTACGTTATTAACTAAATTTCATTATTGTCTATTGACGATAACACACACACACACACACACACACACTCGCAGGCACACTTATATCATAATTATTATGTTGATACTTTAACAGAGTTGTATGAAGAAAAAAGAGTAGGTGATACCACATGCCCAAAGATTAAACATTAATCAAATGTAATATTTATATTTTATATTTAACTTCGACAAGCGACTATATTAAAATCGTTTTTATAAATATTAAACTATATTGAAATAAAAATATTATAGATGGGGTATTTTTTTAAATCACAAAACATTAAAAACTTAATTTTTATTTCAATTACACTGTACACATAATCTAAAAATAGTGTTTTTTTTGTAATCAATCATTCACACTTGTAATAGTTTTATTTTTAAAACAACGACAAACATTATTATTGAAAATTGGACCCATGATATTCCAATATTGGTTCAAAGATATTATATAATTATGAATTAATGATTTTTATATATCATTATTTTTTTAAAACATTTTTTAATGTACTAAATACTTAATATACTGTTGCATACCTATCTTGGAATTAGAATTATAAAGTTTAAATACTGTTACCAATATAAAATAATTATACTTTACAATAATAATGTACATAAAAATATTTCTTACTCTTTGTAATAATATGTCAATGAATATATTTATTATTTAACAACAGATAAAATACTTTTTTATTAATTTATTTTTTATTTTATGTTAAAAGAATCCAAACTTAAAAATTATGAGGTATAAATATTAAGTTTTTGGTAAACGTTGTTAATGAATTAAATAAAAAATTAATAATCTATGATAAAATAAATGCCTATTATATTTTTCTAATTTCTATAGACACGTCACGCACAATATAGTAAGTCTAATAACATGTGTTTTTTCATCTACATAACATTCTGACCATGTTAAACTAAACAACTCAGTGGTTCCAAAATAAGTATTAAGGTTTAGTGATATTCATTTCAACATTATACATAGCTAGTCAAACCATAAATATAAGATTTATCTTACCGTCATTATTCCAAATGATATCATGTTTAAGTATTTTGTTGATAACACTACATCACATTCGCAAATCTTGAACAAAGTGATTTTTTTTTGGTTTTTATATTTTTTTTATTTTTTGAACAATTTGATTTTCCGTGTTTGTTTAGCTGTGATCGTATGTAGGAATATTGCAGTAATATGAATTGTCATTGCGTACAATTGGGTTTATGGAACGGGAAATTATTATAATATATCCCATGTATATTACACCTGTTTATGTTGTGTTTATTCTTTTGAATAGTCTGCACTATCTTCAACTTTCAATGTGTTGACGTTATGTGTTACTACTAAGTACGTAGTTAATAAACATTAAAATATGTTAAAACATTTAAATTGTCTTCAAAATTATATTATTATTGTCGTCGCGTAATTGAAACATTATAAAGCTTAAAACATATTTAAATAATAATAAATTAATAATATCGTTTTTAAATTTATTATTCGATTTGATATACTTACACCTATAATATTATATGATGAATTAACTATTCTACGTATATATGTATATGTTACTAGAAAATATGACATTTAGTCAATGTTGACAATACCTAGTCAATAATGCCTGATTTAGTAAGAAATTAACGTCAATAACTATTTATTGATGACAATTCCTAATAAGAAAATAACGATCTTTCTGTAATAATAAGTCAAATTATTTTTATTTTATTTTTTATGTATACCTATGTATTTTATATTTTTATGGCTTTTTTGCAAGTATATATTATGCAGATTTAAGCTGTGTAGTTAAATTAATCAGATTTCTAATTATTAATTATTGTCAAACTTTATTGAAGAAAATTCAAATAGGTAAAGCCGTATAAAAGAGCCATCCTACGAATAAAGGTCGTAGAGCAGTTATAATTTGTAGTTAGCTCTATCAAATCACTATCAGTTACACCAATGGCTTCTAAATACTTGTAGTTTTCAGTCACTAAACTCGTACGGTTTTGCTAGAAGTGATTTGTTATTATACAGAAAATATGTGACCATATAATTAGTTATACGTAATATTATTAAGCACTTCTAGTTATCTGAATACTTGGACTATTCTGTAAGATTAATCCGGATTTAAAAGGCAAATGGATTACGGTCATTGTTTGGTCTACCACAGACTTGAACACTACTGAGGAACCAACACCGCTTTTGGGTTCTTCGCTTTAGGCATTAATTGCATTTAAATAATCCTGCTAGGTTTATCCAAGTCACGCACATAGTAGCGAATTTAATACCAGTAACAGTTTATCGTCTATCCACCGATGTATACTGTAACTTATATTATACTGTAGCTTATATTCTTAAGGAAATAAGTGGGTGTTGATTGTTAAAAGTATAATAGAACATATTATTAAACCAAGTGCCGGATTTCAGGTTTTTTTTTTTACTATAATTACTAAAACATGGAGTTTTATACTATGAACTTACCGATCTTAGAAATTGAAACTAATTCTTAAAAAATATCATATTTAGCAAAATTATTTTACATGTGTCACATTGTGAATAATTTTTATATTTTAACTTAACTTTTGAGAATCTATAAATCATTAAGTTATTATAATAGTAAATAGGCTGTTCACGAACAAAGTGCACTTTTATTTTTTTTTATAATTTTCAAGTGAATGTTCTGGCCATGATGTATTAATAAAACATTAAATAATTAATATAAAATATTGTAAGTTTTAATTTATAACATCTAAGGGATATAGTGAATATTGTAAATACTAAATTGATGAATATTTTTTGATAATGATGTGAGGTATACTCAAATCTTTTATTACCATAATTTTATCAATTTTTCTTCTTCGATTATAGTTTAAATAAATTTATTTTGTCGTGGAAAGTATAAACTATAAAATAATTATAATAATAACAAAACGTTTTTATATTAATCGAAATGATAAATTATTGTTGTTTTTAGGTATTAAAGTCGCATAATATTGTTCATGATATTTTAGAGGGGTCAACATGAATATTTTCTAGCCAAAAGCTATTAATTAATTAATTAATTATAGTGTTAAATCTCAATGATTTTTAAAATTCACAACCACAATAATAATATATTTTAATGTATTAATAATAAAATTAAAATCGTGTGCAAATAATAGTTATACCTATATAATATATGTGGATATATACATTAAAAACCAATATCTTTGTTTGGTTGTACTCATTATAAAATGAACAAAATAATCAGAGCTAAATGCTGTAGCCATTTTCTCTTACAACAAATTACGCTAATATGAAAAAATGTCTTTATATTTATGGGGTTTATAATTCTTTTCAAAATAAATGTCTACAGTAAACCTCGTATTGCTCAAAAACAAAAAGTGTTATCAATGTGTCAATATTATATAGTTGGTACCTATTTAATATTATGTAATTTATCAATAGTTAAATATTTAAAGTTATACAATATTATAATAATTATATTTTATGCAATACTAATACCTTAGAAATCAAAATTATGTTAAAACATTGAAGTGTTCGTGTTCAGTTCGTAATGTATATGTTAAACTAAAATATTGAATATTATTATAAGCATATTAATTTCAACAAATATTACACAGCGTCGTAATAAAAGTACTAGGTAGATAGTGCTTGCTTATTTCATTAATCTAATATTATACTATTTATCTATTGTTTATTACCTATACCTATTATATACTTCACTATATTTGTATAAAATGTTTAATACTATAGAGTATGTGTTATACGAATTGATATAGTTTTATTTAAAAGTAGGTATTCAATCAGTAATTTTAACAAATATTTTAAATTCTATTTCGAATTATACAATTAAATTCACAACACAAAAACAAACGTTATAATTTTTAAAGATTTGTGAAAATAATCTCATAAGAATTAAAAACTTCATAACTATAATTGAAAAATAGTCAAGTTTAAAACTAGTTGCAATATTTTTGAATTCAATTTCAGTTCCACATTGTCTCTAGGGAAAGTCAACAACAATATAAATTATACCGAAATAAACAATATAACTACCTACGGACTATAGCATACACCAAAATATTTTTAATATTAGATCGTTACCATTTACCTGTAAGTTACTAATATTTATTGTTTCCTATTTTTAGTTAATACAATTAATTAAAAGAAAAAAAATTGTTTTTAGTTAAAACATTTTTCTGTTTGTATTTCAATATAATTGTTCCTATAAATAAATTAAAGTATTTTTGATAATAAATAATCTGTATCACGTAATACTAATGCATTTATGATATGTGTAACAATTTTTGATTTACAAAATAAAATTATATAATTGGTATAGTAAATTATTCTTTAAGATAAAAAATTTAATTTGAGACATGTTTAACAGTATATTTTAATTATAATATCTAGTATTATTATTACAAATATTAGTATTTTGAAACTTATCGCCTTTAGCAGTTTATACTAATTAGTAATCATATTATAATATGTTACATACATTACATTTAATAATTTGTATCAGTGGATTGCTAAGAGATGATTTACCTGTTGTGAGAACGAAGATAGCTGACTACATAATAATAATTGGAGCACCGTAATATTAATGATATGACACAGGAGATAGTTACTTAAATTAATTTTTTTAATTTAAAAAAATTAAATATTTTATATCGAGAATAGAAATGAATTATTATTTAACTTAAAAAATATATTAAAAAGTCACCATGGGATACTGACACTGTCTAATGAATATAAATTTATTTTTTTTCAGAATATTAATGCTGATAATATTTATAGTTTTATATTATGCATGTATATTATGTACCTATATTGTTATGTATAGGTATTATAAAGGTGTTTGCTCTTTTAAAAATTTCTTTTTGACAATAAAAAATACTTCTTTTAATCAAAGATTTATGATTTATCTTTATTTGAAATTTTATAATACTATAATATACATTAAAAAAAAAAAATTAAAATAACAACTTAAACTTTAGTTGCTAATATTATATCTCTATTTACGACACAAGTCATACACTTAAAGGAGGTAGGTAAATTTGAAAAGAAATATCATATTCATAAGTGATGTGTTTAAATCTATCATTGATTTAATAAAAATAAAATATACGAACTATAGCATATCTTCCAACTTTACTGTTATGACAACCTAGTATTTCTAGTGTAAAAAGTTAAATGACTCAAAAATCATGTGTTTTGATTTTAATATAGATACACCAACATGCTCGAAATAGTTAATTTATTGGAAAAAGGGTGATTCTGATTTTGAAAAAAAAAAGTAGTCGGTACACAGAACTACACTGGTTAAACAGTATAAAAAATTTAAATATTTAAATGGTATAATCCTTAACTATATAATTAAAAATTCCTAAAATAAAAGTTTGAACGAATTAAAAAATGTGGATGAGCAGGCTTGGTAAATCATCTCATGTATAATATAATAATAAAACCTCAATTTATGGATTCAGCAGTAGGTATTGCTTTACAGGTGCGAATAATCCGATAATCTCCATTAACACGATTATAACATATTATTTTGTCGGGACTCGAGTTAAATCGTTCAATGTCCGTTTGTCGGTATTTGGGCGTGAAGAGAGTAAACGGAGTGGCCCCTCTTTTACCTATAATATTTAGTCATTGCGACGGTCGGTTATATAATAATTTATAATAACATTTATCTTGACGATGCGACGACATCCTTATTGATGGCCACAAAACGTGATTTCATTGCAACGTGCGGTGCGCCAGTATAAATATAACAAACAGCGCTGCAAGTACTGAAGGTTGAATACATACACAAGTAGGACTGTAAGATAGCTTAAATTCATGTAATAACACTAAACACTCGACGAGACGGCTTTAATTGTCCGTAAAGAACGAGTATCGACGAACGTTAGGCGCGTGCCAGTCTCATATACAAGACAGATACCTACTATGCATGTACGTACAGGGTCTTCGGAAGGCGACGAAAATTGGTTGATATCACTAAAGGTAGCTAATTTGTGTAGAACAAACATTTGAAATACCCTGTTCGTGTATAATATTGTATAGATATCTTCAATGTCACGCTGTTTCCTGGTCTTTACTGTTCGTCGTCGGTGGCCGTCTGTCGCACACGTAAATAATGCGTCGTTTTCCTTGGCGAAAACCTCGCAAAACGACTGACATTTCCTGACCTGGGAAAAATCGTGGCTGTATATTTTTTTTTTGCTTTCATTCTCCGTACGACCGCTCAAAAAATGATCAACATTTCTTTTTTTTCCGCCGCGAGAACTTTTTGACATGTATCGTACCACACCACACACACACACACACATACATATATATATATATATGTATATAACTATGTATTATATAAATTGTGCAGAACGAGCGCAACTTGTATATTCACGCGTATACCCGGCCTACAATTTGCTGTTGTCTCGTAGTTGTTTAACGATCGAGTACTACAGAGTCTGATCTTAAGACGTAGGTTTTTTTTTTATTTATCAGATGCCATTTATGTCTGACAGAATCTCATTTGTGTACCATATCAAGATGTAGTCTTATATACATTTAAACATATAAAGTGTTATTATATTGTATTATTGTAACACACTGTACAGTATATTCTAATGCTTGCTTATAAGTTATAACGCGACGAGACTTGATTGTAAACATTTCAATCTGAAGAAAAATCACACAAAAAATATGCCCGGGCGTTTATTGAATAATTTTGATGCAATTTAAAACAAACGAGTAAAATTTTAACATATATTGGAAGGTAAATTATTTACGTTAATGTAAATCATATTTTTTCGTGGTATAAGTAATAAATTAAAATACATCAGGTATGTATAAGTGAGTGCACTAGAATTTAGAAATACAGTAGACGCCGCTTATAAGACTCACGGATATAAGGTTCAGTCGCTTACTAGACTCAAAATCGTTTGGAACGGTCCGGACGTATCCAAATACATTAAAAAAAAATCGGTTATAAGACTCAACACTTCGGTTATAAGACTCAAATTTCGTAAAATACATTTTTTTGGTTATAATTTAGAAATAAATTGGTATTGAAAAATTAAATAATATTCGTGTTGATTATTTCTAGTTTCTGTTGGTACCTTATAACATATAATAATTTTTATCGCAACGATAATTGTTATTATAGTGTACTGATTATCTGACGGCTGCACAGTTATCGTAATTACGGGTACATAAGTACATATACGTACACGTGCACATGTACGTATATGCAGTTATCATTGCAGTCAACGATATAATTGTTGTGCAATGAAAAATTACAAATTTTGTTCAAAAATAATTTTTCAAAATAAATAATTTTTATATGTAATATTTACCTATTATAATTTTAGTTTTTTTTTTATCGGGATTATTAAATGTATTCAATAATAAAGTATGTAATATGTAATATGTGTTAATGTATTAAAATCAAAGCAAAATATGTAGTAAAATAAAATTTATAAATACGTAATTAATTTTTTTTCCACTTCGCTTATAAACGGCGTCTACTGTATATACTTTTTTAAATTAAATATGCAGACTGTTTTTACCTACAGCACCTTCTATTATCTGTATACAATATACATAATTTAGAATATAAGATAATTTTATTGTAGTATTATACAGGTTCATATTATATTTAAAATTGTTTATTTTACACGTAATATACGTAAGTATTAATTTTAAGGGTGTTGTGAATTTAAAACAATTAACAAAAATTAAAATTTAAGTATATTGTGTAGGTAGAAAAAAAGAAATACCAGTAAATCATGTAAAACGTGTATAAGTTGATGAAAAAAAATTTAAAATAATGTTTAACATGACAAAATTGTTTTTTAGATGAATACATAAAATTGTATAATATAAGTTCATACAACTATTACTACATAACTTAAATATTTTTTTCATTTAATAAGACTTTTTTAAAATAACGTTAAACTTAAAAGCAGAAATAGCTATT